GGCATAATGAATGTCGTTTTACATCGATGTTGTAGAAGTCGCTGAATTTTCGGGGATCCTCGAACTCTTTTGTATAATAATTCCCGATATCCGTCATGCCAGATGTCGGGATTCACGATTGTCAGGGACATGGGTGACGCTGTTTTGAAGCAACTGGGCCGATGGCCAACATTACCATGATTCAGCAACATAGTGACCTCACAGAACGCAACACTAGGCTTTGATAATCTCCAATATCAGACGTGCCAGATTTTGGGGATTCACAAAAGTCAGGGAATTAGTTGATGATTTCCACTAAGTCTGCAGCTTAATCGCATATTGAATAACTCGGTTTAGGGTTTCTGTTCTGGCAATGATGAGTGTGAGCGTGGTGAGTGTAGTATTAAAACATTTTGTGCATTTCGTCTTGCCTCCTCTTCAAATTCCTCCAATTCCCTCATCTACATGGAGATATTCGAGGAGGGGACGTTGCAATTGACCAGGAATCCATTTCCTCTATGGTGTAGATATATGAATGATAAGTTCACAATACCACACAAACCAACAAAGGTAAATAAGCATATGCATGTTACTTACGGCTTTACCACCTCTTAGGTGAGAAAGTTGATCGGTAAGATGACTTTTAAATAAGAGATGTAATATATAAGAGAATATATGCATCCCATTTGTTTAAACCAGAATTTCTTCATGTTTACAGTTGTCTCAAAATCTTCTTACTTTAGAGAATTTTTTGATATGCCGGTCAGCCATTTCCTAATAATAAAATCGTGGTCTTGAGTGTAGCAGGTTCGATCTTGTGAAGATGCAAGAGTAATCAATGTATGTTACATCGTAGTTTTCACAAAAAGTAAGATTTGTGTCCAGTGAATATCGACCCCTATGACGATTGATTGTACCTATGTTGTCGTTCAATTCTTTGAGGTTCAATAGAGCTAAAGAATCAGGTTAGCCTGAAATGGATTACATTTATTTCAGACACTCTGCTCTGTTATAATCACATATAGTGAATACCCGTTTGGCAATCGGTGCTCGACGTCAATGGGTAGCACGGACGCGAGTCAGTTTTATAAAAATGGTGATGCATATGAAATAACTAGTTACAGTAGTTTATCATATGTCATGCAGAAAATATTTGGGTTTAAAGGTTCAAGTCCACTGTGGGTATCCACTCAAATCACCATTAATGGCGATTTGACATTTTTGTTATGTGTAGCCTGTGGTATGACACTTACATTAAATGACAGCTAAGATATAGTAGTATGTTGCGAAAAGGGAAATGGACTAAGAAGTTTTGTTTAGCCTCTCAGTTACGGAATGTTAACCGTTAAATGAAAATTTAAAAATTAAACGAGACTTACCTGTAAGTTGAAGTTTGATTGTGATTCTACCGAGTAACAGGGTGCTGAGAAATTACATGAGATAGCTAGCGCATGTGCCGATCAGGTTTTAGAGACTGAATGTACGTGTTACCCAATAGCACAGGGGTGGGTAGGGAAATTAGGCGTGTTTTGTTTGATCGGAAAGTTCTTGGTTCCAGTCACTCAAACTGACGTCTAAGACTGAACGGAGCTCTGATAAACTCTATGTGGTAGTTGCGTTTGCTAATTGTAGTGGTTCGTCCATTCTAACTGCTGAATAAAGCTGTATTTTTGGAAAAAATCCTCGTACACAGCAATAAAAAGCCAACCCGATCGGCGACAAACGTTGCACTAATCGGCGCATGCGCTTGCTATCTCATGGAATCTCTCAGCATTGTCAGCATGGTAACGAGGTAGAATCGCCACTGGTGGCGATTTGACTTTCAGTGTTGGCAAGTTTTGTGGTGGCGAGTTTTTTGTGGACGCGAATTGAACACATACCCCGCTATGCAGGCCGTTCACGACTATTGCCATCCAGATTTCACTGGGTCGTATTCACAAGTCAGATCATCTTGATACTGATTCGCAATTGCCTGATTTTAATCATGAAGAAACTCAAGCTCCATCTCCGCGTCATCCGATTGCTGGGATGCGTCACAAAATCAGGCGCTGATTTATAATTATGAAACTGCTTCATTAATATGTGGTTGTGTGTGCATTGATTATAGATAGAGTTTACCTCAAAAATGCTATTGTAGCTGGAAACAAATGCAAATGCATAATTCATAAAGGGTCTCGCCTATCTTTCTAGATAGCTCTCCTCATCCAAAGATCGAAGGAAAAAAAATGGTAGGATTACAGGATGCCTAAAGCTCTGCACGTTAGCGTTGCCCTATAAAGCTATCAATCCTTTTATCTTTATTTTATGACCTGCATTACGAGTTTTTCTATGTATATTTCTTTAAATCGATTCTCTGATGAGGATGGTATTTCTTACGTTGATAACACATATCATTCTATTGAGCACCGTTTATTTTTTTTAGCTTTACTAGAGTAATGGTTCCATCAATCACTTACCTGTGATTGATACTATTTATCACTAAGTCCGAGTGCTTTGGCGCACTTTCCCCACCTTTTCTGCTTATGTAGCTTTGAAGAATATATTTTTTAAGGACCTTTGAAATTACTAACACCGAAACGGAAAGTTTCATGTTTGCAGTAACAAGATAATGCACGATTGCTGGCAAGAGAATCCTGCTTATCTTCCGGCCAACCTTTGGTTGGCTTACATTATTAAAACGTGAGCAGATACAAAAATCCTCAAAGGAAAAACAAAATGGACATTCCGAGTTTTAAAGATTTTCACGCTCGGTTAGATTGCAAGCTTACGTACGGTAATAAAAAGCAAACACAGCTAACACTCGTATAGTATATAAAGTTCAGTGTTCAAACACAAAATAGAACAAAACAGATGATGAAAAATATAACCAAACTGGTATAACTGTTAAAAATTCATACTAATCATGACGGTGTCTGAACGAATATGATCGTGCTGAAGTCCATCGCGGCTCGCTCATCATGGCGATCTCCGTTCATCAAAGTAAAGCAAGCCTCAGAAACATCGGCCGCCCTTCGAGTGAAAAAAAAAAAATATATATATATATATATATATAGGAAGTCTGTGTACTGATTTTCCAGTTTTACAGCGCTCGATACGTAGAAGTAGAGCACGATATATATTGCGATTGGGGAAAGATACAGAGAGAGACTATGCTTTCATCTTTACAAGCCTGTTTCATAATTACTCACTCATCTGATGAGTGAATAATTACGAAACAGGCTTGTAGGGATGAAAGTATAGTCCCTCTGTTTTTTTCCCTATCACAATATATATATATATATATACTTAACAGTTAGTTGCTGGTTAACAGCTAATTATTAATTCCTAATAAGTTTTGAACACTTTGACAATGTGCTGCTGACACGAAGCTGAGCATTAACCGTGGGTTCATAGTGAGATTTGCAAACCGTGGGATGCGCATGCATTATTGTTTGTGTTGATACGCAAAGTATTGTTCATTGGAAGATTTTGAAAATGACTCCAATAACTGTCAACAATTTCAACGAAACGCTTCGCAGTTTTCTGGCCGTGATACGGTGAACCTGTAACGCGGGTTCCAATCCTGGATATCTGTACGCTTTCCAATTCTAACAGCGTATTTGCCATTCCTTTGTCTTGACATACTTCAGTCTTGAAATTTTTTTTCGAGCTTTATGTCTAATTCCGGGTGGCATATGTTTCTCTGGTAAGGCATTGAACAGTTCTTGTTTTATTTGAGCATGTTTTTGAAAGAGCCGATTTTGGCTTCACCTCGGGCAACTCTTACGCATGTTTCGTACCCTCCAAACAGACCCAACTTCCCGCATCAGTGTTCCATATCTAATGAGTGATAAGACATGAAGCGGTTAAGGCAGAAGAAGCAAACGCGGTGTAACCGCTGGTTTACAGTTCGTGGGCCCCTAAATATAAAGTTTGCATAGTATTCGTTTACTCCCCTACCGTCGCATCTTGAAGCGTAGTTCGCCTTCACGGCGTGGAAATCGCAATGTTTACAGTCATATCTAATGTGTCTATATTCTTATGTTTGGTTTTGTTTATTCGTAAGACAGGTAGGTACTCGAGCTCATCGTTACTGAGCGAGCGTTTCTGTTGGCGCGAAAAACAGCTTCGCGCTGGACTGTCGGGTCATATTTCTAAGCTGGTTAAAGGATCTGTGCTGTTTACGTGATTTTTTTGTTTGTTTGTAGAGTTAGCACCAACATTTACGGATACTCCTCCAAGTCCGTTCTATGTTTTGGAAGGTAACAATATCACGTTTGTGTGGCAATACAACTTGGATGGAACGTTTGACAGACTTGTCTTTCGGTTCGTCAGCAGCTCTCCCTCCCGCATCATTGTGTTCAAACATGACATAAACCTCGACGCATTGGTTCCAAATAGTTTTTATATGGGTCGCATTCAAAAAAACATCAATGCTACACGAGCAGAAATTACAATCTTTGCATTGCAGCGATCTGAGAGTGGAGGATACAGTGTTGATTTGACAGACAGTACTTTCGACCTTGCCAGTGACAGAGTGACTGTTCAAGTACAGTGTAAGTAAACCACCAAACGTTTCATGAACATTATCTCTATTGATTCTATTTGTTGAAAAATTTTGAAATCAATCCGTAAAGGTGAATCTTGTTTCGTTGTTGGATATTTAATTTTATTTATTCTTGACGCAAACTGCTACTATTTTCCGGGTAGCTTAGGAATATAGCACTAAAGCACTATCTTTTCGAAATCTCCACTAATTTCATTCAAAAGTGATAAAAACATAGGCAACGTTTTGGTCACAAGTTTATTTCAAACCAATAATCAACCTGGAACTTCAAGTGCGCTAGCTCACGATGCAAAACTTGTCCTTTTATTCATAACGTAGAGAAAATGTCGGAACCCAAGAGATCCATTAAGATCACTGATCACTTTATGTGCGCCCCGCCAACGTCGTTTACTGAATAACTTGTACTTATTGCCTATAAGTTTTGGTGAAACAGGAAGGCGACTAGTGACCGATTCCGACAAAAACCTTCCCGACGTAGAAATAAACGACAAGGACGCATCCAAATCAGTCGCTAAACACTTTAATCTCCCTAATCATTCTAAACAACACATGGCAGTTTGCAGTCTCTCCCTACATTTAGGCAGT